TTTTTTTTCTATAGCACTATCCTTAATGCTATTTTCATCATATTGGCTCAGTTGTCAAGATTTCAACATCTCTATGACCAATTTTTATGTTTGAATTCTACTTACAATAGTCCCTCTTGTATAAAAAGCATTTAGTAAAATTTAAAAGGTATTTATTTTAAAAATATTATTTACGTTTTTATAAATTTAAATTTTTTTCAAAAAAATAAAAATTAATTTTTTAAATAATTTCAAAAAACTTCACTACCAAACTTTGACCTTGAAGCCGAGGTAAACTCTCCTCACATAAACTTTCCCTTAACCCGAAATGAAAAATAAAAACAAATGGCAATGACCCTGCTCATTTCAACTGTTCACTGCTCATCCCCAACTAAGCATAGCTGGGATTAATTTTGAAATGCCAGTTGCTTTGACATACTTCTATTCTCTAATTTTGATTATGTGTTAAATTAGTAAAACAAAATTTATTTTTAGATTCTTAGCATATCTACTAGGCTAACGTGCGAAACAGTGGTGCATTAATATAACAAAGCATTATAAATCAAACCATAAAAAATTTGTATCATTCTTCTTCCTCTACTTTTCCAGTTTCTACACGGCCGGCTGTACCCTGCATGGTTTCTTTTCGTGACTTTATTTTCATCTTTAATTTTCTTTAGATACAGTTAGTCTTCTTAATTTTGATTAGGTAACCAAAACTTGACTATTGGAACGATGTCAAGCCTATAATGAACCATTAATTAAGGCTCCATCACGGTCAGCCACACTGTAATAAATTTGAATGTTGCAGCAGAAGACTACACAGCTAAGGTTCCATATTTTATTTTATTTTATTTTTTTATCAGTAAAAAGAATTTATTAATATTGGAGCACAAGGGGTATCCCTGCTCAATTACAAAAAAACATCTGCTAGCATGATAGAATGACAAAATAAAAGCATCCATCACAGGCTGCAGAGCAATTAGCAACTCAAAAGGCCCTATACAAATTCAGGGTAACGATTTCATCATGCATATATCCACTGTTCTTACTGTTGCCTCTCAATGAGGAGAAAAGCGACGTTCCTTTTCAAACTTTAAGCTGTACCCATTCCTTTCTGCTGTTTATGGAACAATTTCTGCATTTGTTTATATTTTCTCACTGATAGAGCACATTTAACTGGTTCTACCTTCCATTCATGGAATGAAAAGACACACCCATGAATCTTATTCTTAATCCAGAAGAATGATTTGGCTTGGACCATATCCATTAATCTTCCTCGAGTGCTATTTCCATTGTTAAACACCTCACCACAGCTAAGGTTCCATATTTTAATTAATTTCATTCTTTATATTTCCATATCTATTTGACTTGGAGAAATTAAGAATGCCATAACCAATCCTTATGTTTTCATTTTCTTAAACATAGCTGCTGGCTGTTTTGACTTTAATGAGAATGAATGGAATTAAAGAAAGTCTTTCTCTTTTATTTGATGGTGAGGTACGAAAGGTGCTATAAATGTTTAAAAATCTATTTGGTTTGATAGAAATGAAGAGAGGTTCAGATAAAAAAAATTAATTTTTTAATTAATTAAATTATAATATTAATAAATAATATAATTTACTTAATTAAAATTTTTAGTTTTTTTCCTTCATTTTATTTCATACAAACCATACATAACTTAAAACTTTGTTCTATCATTTCTTCCCGAAAGGTTGATAATACTAAGGATGGTCAGGGTGGGGCAACTACGTGTCGTCATTAAGCAAATCGTTGATTACGTTCACCCACTTAAAGGTGGCCCATTGATGGTCGCCGTCGGTGATATGATATCAGGAGAATTCCTGATTATTGAATTCAACCTACAGTGGCCATGTCATGTCGGACGTCGCTGTTCATTGTCCGAAAAAAGGTGGCAGTTGAATGCGAGGCTGAAAATCTTGAATTATTGATGTGTCAGTCTTATATGATCAACAGTCTAGAAATTAATTTTGATATCCTTCATTCAGCTTAACTTTTTCCAGATGGCATCTTATCAAAGCAAGACTTTCACGGTAACAATTAACAAACATGGGGAAAAATGGATGCTCTCTACGTTTGAAATGGTAGGTCTCTAATTAATTAGTTTTGATAGATAACATCTTACTAAAAAATAATTTGATTTTTTTAAATAAAATTTTATATTTGAGTTTTA